AGTGACCAGACAATAATTTCATTTGTGTTTCTGAAATCTCGGGGATGTTGGCGTGCATGCTATTGGGCCCTGAACAGTGCTGATTTTACACTGTTTTCAATGGGGCTTGAATTAGTGGACTGGACCCATACGTAGTCTCACTGTTAAACTCCACCCAGACTGAGTGCGGATAGCACACCAGGCCAGGGTTTCCAAGCTTTGAGAAGCAGTACAGTGTCCTCGTGTTTTTCCTTTGGCCACCCTGTTTGTTTTTTGAAAAGACAGCATTGACTCGTCTTTAAATCTGTGAAAGTTTCAATGTGCGCTCAAGCAGTGTTTCTTGAATGTTTATACATACACTGTATACCCTGTAAATCAAGAAGGCAATCTGTCTTGAGCAGAAGCACCCCCTCATTGGTTGTAAAGAGCCATGTTGGTCTGAGTGTTCATTTTGTTGGTAGCCACACAGCTATCACACGTGCATTTCCTAGTCGTTCTGAACCAGTGAAGTTCAATTTCTGACCAAACATGCCTCTGTTGATAAGAAACTTGCACCCTCTCATGGTCCAGCTTGGGGCTCATTACTTCCCTGTCAGCATACGTCATTGGAGGGGTCCAACCAATTCAAACATTTCGGCTGCAGTTGGACATTATTTCATAGGGGAAGAGACTACAAAAAATTCTGTGGAGGATGGAAAATGAGAGTTTGGCTGACCACAGATAAACATTTTTGTTCATGGTACTCTATCAAATATTTCATCATACAGTAGTATCCTCTTGTACTCTGACAAGACCACATGTTTTCTTAATTAAGTAATATTGTGTGTGTAGTATCTGAGTGTCTGATCTGTGCATGAACTAGTTCCTCGTACAGTCTACATTATGTCGTAATTACTGACTGCTATGGTATTGAGAGATCAACCTTTTTATACACCTAGGGCACTTTCACCCTTGACTTTTAGTACTTTGCTGCACTTGCCCTGGATCTTCATGGAGAAAAAAAGTGTCATATAGCAGTCAGTCAATATGTACTTTAATAGATATACTTCAAAAGTAAAATACAGTTTAAATCATCGCAGTGTAGACTTTGAATACTGACAGGATTCCCACCGGACACGAGACTGGGAGATTGCCCGATATAGTAAATCACCTGACCATTCTAGGCCAGTGAAATTTATCACAGCAGCCAGGACATTTTGTTTTGTTGCAGGCAGTTTTTACGACAAAGTATGTCAAGTCTTCTGTAAATTGATTTATTTCAGTAATTTTTGGGCGTGTGGGGGATCCAAGATTTTTAAAAGGGGAAATGGAACCTAAAAGGCCATGTGACAGGATCTAAGGTACGATTTGTGTGCAGTGTACTGTCCAGTGAATCCCAAACAGCGTGGAGTTCTGAGTCAGTTGATGACCAGTGAAAAAGTTGCAGTTCCAGTTGCTCTGTGATTCATGCTTGCTCTTTCAGAGACTCATTGCTGAAGACAATTATTGAAATTATTAAAACAAAAAGGAGGCGTGCATCAACGAATTCCCTTCCTAAAATTTGTCCTTGCGGCTTTTGAAAAACAGTAACTGTCTTAACGGAGAACTCATTAATCTCGATGTATAGCGATTAATTTTTATGCCGCAGTAATTCTCGTATTTCTATGCTTGTATAAAAAAGAGAAGCGTTCAACTCTGTGTGAAATATTCTGATAAATAAGCACCTAAATGCTTTCACCTTTATCATACCACCTGATCTCTCTACTGGCCTTTCTAGATACATTTTTTTTCACGCTTCTTGCCTTTTCTTCCTGAGAAAAGAAGTATTCCCCGAAGGCAGTGAGCCGCTGACGCCTTCCAGTTCCTCACGTTAACATCGACGCCCTGATCGGCGTGAGATGGAAACCTCTAGTAAAGTTGTTGAGATCATTAATACCAATTACAAGTACCTGAAAATGCGTCATCTTAAATTGGTACCACTACCACTTTGGCTAAAAGCCCTGCAGAGTTTCCCGTTTGTCCCAAAACAGTTTTATTCCACATGTTCACTGGAGACAGTTAAGTTGTAAATACGAGAGCTTGAAAATTGATATGGATTGCGAAGACTCTTGAACTGGTTTCTAAGCCCCTAAGGGGTCAAACCTATAAAAATTCAGTAGTTTTGCGTGTGAAGTAGCTCATCTGAATCTCTACCACTTTGGGTAAAAGCCTTGCACAGCGTTTCCTCTGTTTGTCCCAAAACAGTTTTGTGCCACATGTTCACTGGAGCCAGTTTAGTTGAAACAACGAAAGCTTGGAAATTGATATGGATTGCCACGACTCCTGAACTGCTTTCTGAGCCCCTAGAGGGTCAAACCATGAAACATGTTGCGCCCTTATTTTGACACATTTTGCTGGAAAGTATGCTGCCACCCATGTTCCAGAAAGACTGGACCCGAATCTTCAGGTAAAAATATTTTGTCATAGCCTCCCAGTGACATAATCAGCAACCTGTCCCCACCCCACCGTGTTTTCGAGTGATTAAGACACACAAAGAAATCTTGCCTGAGAAGGGGGGGGGGTCAAACCTCAGATCTCCCGCTTACTATCGCACACGTTATACCACTCGATTTGGTTCTAATCGATATAGCGTAACTACAAAGTTGTCAATATCTTGTCAGCATGACAACAGAACTCGTCGATTTTCAACTGACAGGACCTAGTTCTTGTCCGAATGACCAGAATCCACACGAGCGTTTCCGGCGTTGTAATCTTGTCATCTACAATCCTGGACAAAATAGTTGGAACACCATGTGGGAAGCACGGTGAAAAGACCCCCCTCCCCCATACAATGTTGCAGTCATTTATTGGACCAAGATTAAGCCCAGCTTACCTAATGAGAAACAACATTGGTGAGGGGAGGCATGTTCCGACGAAATTTGTCCAGGATTGTCGCTCCGTGCTCCATTCAATCCAGGCTCTATGATCCACGTTTCACTTGTTTCTGTGCCAAGGACCCGGTTTATATCCCAGCACCCTGGACAGTTGAATTAATGAGACTCGTCTGTGAGTTACGTTATCTAACCGGCTGCAAATGCACGGAAGTTCCCTAATTTTATTTCGGGGGCCTACAAATTACATACGGGTTTGGTGAAAAAAAATTGCCATTACTAACACACTTTACCCAATAGACGGCACCATGGCACCTCAAGTTTCCTGGAAAACATGTTCTGCACGTGGGCCGCTCCACATTTTCATTGAAGTTTAGGTTGCATCACTTCGTCACTCATCGTTCAAAAATAACCAGAAATAATACAGCTGTCCAGCGTGTAGTCGTTTGGTCAGTCTCTTAGTCAGTGAAGTCGTGTGTCAGCAAAGTAGATGCCGTAGTAGGTAACGAGGGTGCACGTGGTCTGCCATGAATGAACTAATTTCAACTAATTAGTGTTTCTATGGACGCCGTTGTTAAACTTAATTTGCTCGCTGGTGGGTAAAAGCTGATTGTAGCGATGAATCAAGCAATGCAAAGTCTGGCAGGGAGAGTTGCAACCCCGGATGTGAACTAATAGGTTCTTATTTAACTAAAAAAAAAGTTCACCCGGCCCACGTACTTGGGACTTCTTTCAATAGAGCCTGAAAGTAAAAGGTCACGCAGCAAGCTTCCGGGACCCTCGCGCGGTCCGTCTGTGGGGATGTTACATGGGCCGTCATATCCCATCCGATTATTTTTGGAGAATGATTTCGAACTGAAATCACCCCTAGAAATACTCATGTTGGAATTTTTCCTCGGTCCTCCTCAAATAATATTTAGGAAAAGTCACATGGAGATGGGTAAAAAAAGAACTTCATTAACGACCTTTTGCTTCCGGCAGTGTCGTTCCTAGGTCTCCTTGTTCATGCATGTTTGTTTTCATTCCCCGTGCTGATGTGGAAACGAGACTGTAGAACTTTGCAAAGATTTACCTACCTGCGGTCGATGGGTTCCAGATTCCGTTGAGTCGAAGTGACGCAGTTCTTGTCAGCAAAGGGTACTAATACAATACACCAGAATCTTTCGTAAAAGCATGTTATTGCTTTAAGTTTATTTCTTTATAAATTTCAAAATTCTTAAGATATTTTGGTCTATTTTTACTTTGGCTTTTACCGAAAGACTATCATAATCTGTGATTGCGTAATTGTTCATATGCGTACGAGACCAGCGAATTGCACTGTTCTTGATGTATTTTGGATTTTCGGAAGTGACTGGTCAGTTTTTGGCAGGATGTTTCTCTTATAGGTCACGTCATTTTTCAGTTTCCATAAATTCATATGCTAGCAAATATTTGACAAAAGGCCTTTTTAAGAGTACCGTTTTTAAGAAGAAACTGAACGAAAAAAATATTACAAATTCCTAAATTTCAGCACGTTATTTTTCCTATCCAAGGGTTCCAGAAGCGCGCCATCAGGGGTAAACTTTCAGGCTCTTTACCAAGTGTACCCTGCAGTCTAGTATTTGTTTTTGTAGTACATGCAGTTCATGTAGTTATAGACTGCTGCGGATAAGACTAAATAGATCACCTTTTACTTTAGCTCTACGGGCTGATGACAAAGTGGAAACTGTGGGTATTCTTTCCGTGTGCTTAACAGTCCCTGGCATTTACAAACCACAGAAGACGTTTTAATCTTGTTTCAGTTTTAAGTTTCGACTGATGACAATACCGATCTTTTCATTCAGATCCTCTAACCTGAAAGTATCCCAAATTTTAGCAACCATCTACAAGAAGCCACCCTATGCCAATACAGTCCAAATTATACGCTCCGTCCCTTGTGCCTAGAAAACTTGTCCTACGGGCAGCAGTTGC